ATCCGACCCCCCAACCCGAATCCCCAGCCCCTGACCCAAAATCCTCCACCCGTCTCCCTCACCTACTCCCCCTCCTCCTCCCTCTCCTCCTACTCCTCCGCCTCATCCTCCTCCTCCTCCTCCTCCTCCTCCTCCTCCTCCTCCTCCTCCTCCTCCTTATTTCCCCTTCCCCGCTCACCTCCGCGATGGCTCCTGCAGCCAGGAGCGGTTGCCTTGCACGTTGCGCCGCCATTTCTGGCCCACAGCGCTTCGGCGCAGCACGCCAAGCACCTCCCGGCCCCCGAGCGGCATCGCCCCGAGCTTTGTTGCCAGACTCCCGCCACGCGGAGCGGAGCGACGCGCCATCCGTCTTCGTGATCTCTTCTCAGCATAGGGCGACGAGATCTATGCATATCCACTGCTCCTGGCCAGGCCAATCCTGGGCCCAGGAGCGGTGTATACGCCCTCCTGGCCTGGCCAGGGAGGCATATACACAGCTCCTGGGCCCAGGATGGGCCTGGCCAGGAGCAGTGGATATGCATAGATCTCGTCGCCATACAGCACGGCTCCCCCGAGGCCTGGACCCCCCTTTTTTCCCAGGCCTCGCTGCGTCTCCCGGGTCGCTGCTTGACGGTCCCGGGGCCCGGCGAGGGCCCCCGAAGGCCGAGCATGGCAGCAAGGACCTCCTGTCGCAGTCTTCGCACGACTCGGCGGGGCCCCGGAGGGCCTGCCCCATGGCGTCCTCGAGCCCCTGCTCCTGCTCCCCTCGGCTACTCGCAAGAGTGGCCCTTCGCCGGAGGGACCTCTGGTGCGGGCCCACAGGGGTCCCCCGATCGCCGAGCGCGGTGCGAGAACAGCCAATTGCGCGCTCGTGTTTGGACCCCCCCGCGGCCCCACAGGAGCCCCGAACCGAAGGTCACGTCTACCCAGGGTCACTCCTGCGTGCAGCCGGTCCCCCTGGAGTCTTCGTTTCTGGGCCTCCTATAGATGGGGTCGGCGCACTATGGGGTCGCAGGATCGCGCCGCTTCGCCGATGCATCGTGGATGCATCGGCGATGCGGCTCGATGTGGAGCCCGATTTGCTTCACGTCGACGTCGCAGATGCATCGCCGACGTCCCCGATGCATCGCCGCTGCATCGCCGATGCCTTGGCGATGCGGCGCGAGCCTCCGGCCCGAGCTGCTCGGACTCAGTCTTGCAGGCCTCTACCGTTGGGGGTGCCCGCACGCGGACGGCCCGCTGGGCGGCGGACTCGTTCCTGTTCTTCATGGCGCCCATCGAGGAGGGGCGGCAGGTCGGGTACAGCCAGAACCCCAGGTAAGGGGACCCGGTCAGCGGCAGGGCCCCCGAGCCATTGAATTGACCAGAGTCACCAAGCCAGGTCTGCCGTAGCTGGTGTTCTTTCGGGTGACGGTAGTTCCGGTTCGTGGAACGGGGCGGAGGGGGCGTCCCCCAGTAGACATCATTGAGCCAGGTTCCACTAAACCCAGTGCTGTCAACGCCCGAGCAGGGCAACTGGGCGGCAGGCTCGAAGGCTCGCCTCGGCGCGAGGGCGACGCGGGCGCGGAGGTGGAGCGCCCTCTGCGTGGGCGCACGGTTCCGGCCCCCCCCCCGGGTGCGCAGAAATCAGCCCACGGCGTGGGAGGAATGCGAAGGGGTGGGGTCGGCAGTCGCTGTGGGGCTTCGACGAGCAGGGTTCGTTAACGGTTCACCGGTCACGCGGTGTTGGGTGCCAGAGCCGACGTCGTCGCGGCAGGAAGTTGGTGTAGAGAAAAGGAGGAAGAGCGAGGGAGAGCGAGAGAGAGATTGAAGGCCAGGGTCCTCTCGGTCGGGGGGTCCTGGGTTCCTCAGGTGGAGCTCAGGCCCTCCGTGCGGCCGCGCGGGCGCGGGAGGCGTCCACGGCGCGGCCCAGCTCGGGAGCGCGCGGCACCGCGGGTCCGACCCGCTGCGTCGCGCAAGCGGTGTACAGAGGCACGGGTACAGACCCTCTCCACGTGCCGGTCAGAGCAGAGCGTCTGCATTGCGGGGGCCGCGGGTCTCGAGTACCACTGTGAGGAGGCCCGCCGTGGGCACCGTGTCCGAGGTGTGTTATAAAAAAAATACGCATCCACCACATCGCCATTGATTCGTCCCTGAAGCCAGCAGCCCGCTACATGCGCTTCCTCGCACAAACACGAATCTGCATGTGCGCGTGCATATGTGTATATCACATATATTTAGATGTGTGTATGTCAACCGATATATACATGAATGTACTAACACATGTTTACGTATATGAATATATATACATATATATATATGTTTGCATACTTGAGTAGATGGATATGGCTACACATGTATAGCCATGCGTATGGTTGCACATAGCGGTATAGTTGCATATGTCAGAGTATGTCCGTGTGTGCATGTACACATGCATATATATACATGTCAAAGTATATTTGCATGTCGATCCATCCATCCATCCATCCATCCATCAACCAATTACTACATATATAAAGGTAGTTATGTATATACACATATATATGTATATATATACGTATATACACATATCCGTCTGCCTGCGGCCAGCCCCGCTATCGCGCTTGTGCAACAGCGCAGCAGGAAGGAGGCTGAGTGTAGGAACAGCGCAAATCTGACGATCAGTCTGCCGTAGGGCGGCTCGTGATCCCGACCTCGTCTTCGTCCGCGTGGTAGGATGGAGGAGGAGGAGGAGGGAGAGGAGGAGGAGGAGGAGGAGGAGGAGGAGGAGGAGGAAGAGGAGGAGGAGGAGGGGAAGAGGAGCAGGAGGAGGAGGAGGAGGTGGAGGAGGAGGAGGAGGAGAAGAGGGAGAACATGAGGATGAGGAGAGGAAGGCTTTTTGGGGCCTTCTTGGGGCTTCCTGGGGGCCTCCTGGGAGCTATCAGAAACCTTCCTGGGGGTCTCTTTGGGGGGTCTCCATAGGCGTCAGACGGGCCAAGAGGCCCACAGAGGCCCCCTAAGAGGCCCAGAGAGGCCCCCAAGAGGCCCCCCTGAGGCCGCCGCGGGGCCTCTCTCGGCCCCGTTGGTGCTTTCTTGGGGGCGGCTCACGGCCGTCCTGTGGCCCTGATGGGAGCTGCTTGGGCTGCCTTGGGGTTGTCTTGGTGGCCTCTTGGAGGCTTCTTGGGCCGTGCCTTGGGCGGTCGGACACCCGAGCAGGCGAGAACTCCAAACTCTGATGAGAACCTGAGGGGAATCAGTGGTGTGGGCCTCCTCGGTCTCTCCAGGAGGGCCTCTTGCCAAGAGGCCGTCGCGAGTGCCTCGTGATCTGTCTTGGGGCTGTCTTGGGAGCATCGCCGCCCCGGAGGCCACGGGGCTCCCAAGGAGGCCTCACGACAGATCAAGATGGCCCCCAAACTGCCCAAGAGGTTTCCAGGAGGCCTTCCAGGAGAGCCCGCGGACGCCGACACCATTGATGCTCTTCAGGTTGCCGGAGGATGTTGAGGTCCTGGCATGTTTGGGTTTCCGACCGCCCAAGACAGCCCAAGAAGATTCTCCGGACAGTCTTGTTGCTCTCTTGAGGCGCTTCAAGGCCGTCTTGGGGCCCTCTTTGGGCGCCAGTTGGGCAATCTGTGGGTTCTTTTGGGCCGACTTGGGGCCCTCTTGGGGGCCTTTTGGGCTGCCATGGATTATCTCGGAGACATCTTAGAGGCCTCTTGGGCCGTCCGGGTGGTCAGGAACCCGAACAGGTGAGAAACACAGCATCTGTTCGAAACCTATGGGAGCTCAATGGTGTTGCCCTCCTCTCGGGCTCTCTTGGAAGGCCTATTAGAGCTCTCTCAGACCGCCCTGGGGGCCGCATGAGCCGTCCTGGGGCCCTCTTGGGCTATGGTGAGCCGTCTTGATGCTCTCTTGAGAGGCTCTTGAGCTGTTTTGGGCTCCCAGTGGCCTCCTGGGAGCTTCCTGAAAGCTCATTGGGAGCCTCTTGGGGCCTCTTGGGCCACCTTAGGCGACTCTTGGCCCTTCTTTCGCCCATGGAGGCCGCCTCGGGGGCCTCTCTAGGCAGCGTTTGTTCCCTGTTTGGGCTGGTCACGGCCGTCGTGGGGCCCTCTTGGGAGCCCCTTGGGCCAACTTGGGGCCCTCTTAGGGACATCTCGGGCTGTCTTGGAGTTGTCTTGGAGACCTCTTGGTGGCTTTTTGGACCGCTTTGGGCGGTCGGAAACCCTAACGGGTGAGACTTACAGCATCTGGTTTGAAATTTGTTGGGAATCAATGGTTTGGGCCCCCTCGGGCTCTCCACGGGGGCCTCTTGGAGACCTCGCGGGCCGTCTTGGGGGCCTCTTGATCTGTCTCGTGGCCGTTTCGGGAGCCTCTTGAGCCGTCTTGGGCCACGGTGCGTCATCTTGGCGTCTTCTTGGCTGCATTGAAAGCCGTCCTGGAGGCCATGGGGCATCCAGGAAGGCCTCACGGCAGATCAAGAGGGCCCCCAAACAGCCCAAGAGGTCTCCAGGAGGCACTCCACAGGAGAGCCCGCGGAGGTCGAAGCCATTGATTGCCTTCGGCTTTTGATCGATTCTGACGTTCTCGCGTGTTTGAGTTTCTCTGGACCGTGCTGCTCTCTTGGGACGCTTCGAGGCCGTCTTGGGGCCCTCTTTGGGCGGCCCTTGGGCAATCCGTGGGTTCTCTTGGGCCGACTTGGGGCCCTCTTGGGGGCCTCTTGGGCTGCCATGGAGCCATCTCGCAGGCCTCTTGAAGGCTTTTTTGGCGTCTTGGGTGGTCGGAAATCCGAAAAGGCGAGAACCTCA